GTGCATCATGACCAGGGCTGCGAACGGATCGTCTCTTAGGCCCCCATTTATTAGTAATACAAAAGAGAAGAAGAAAAAAAGAGAGAAAGAAAAGAAAGGAAGAAACAAAGGGAAGAAAGAAAGAAGAAAGAACGGAGAGAAAGAAAAAAAGGGGGAAGGGGAGAAAAAAAAGAAACAAGGAAAAAAAAATCAAGAAAAAGGGCAYGAAAACCAGAGAAAAAACAAGAAAAAAATTGAAAGGAAAAAGGATTTACAGGGCGTGGTGGTGGAGGTCTCCTTTTCCCGTGGGGTCAGCTGTCTCATTCCCGAACTTCCTCCCGCTCGGCCAAGGTTGATGTCCCTACATGTCTTTGTGTGTGTGTGTGTGTGTGTGTGTGTGTGTGTGTGTGTGTTTGTGTGTCCCACCCCGATCCCTCCGAAGAGCAGCCGGGGCCGAGGGGGACGGTTGTCTAGAGAGCAACCGGCCCCTACGGCCCAGTTGCCCTCCGGACACMWTKCACACACAGAYGCACCCACACAGACAACACCACATCCTGTTAGTCCACAAAGCCATGTAGGTTGGCAAGARCCTCCTTAATCACGTGCACAGATAATCTACCCGGTTGGTAGAGGTGGGCTTTCCACASGGTTTTTCTGACAACTCTCCAGCAAGCGTCAGAGGCGRAGCCRTTTGCGACCATSGSCTCGACAACCCTAGCGATCTCGTTCGCAGCATCCTCCGGTTCCGAGCAGATCATGAGAATCTGGGCCACTTGCGCAGTAATGATTTGCAATGAYYGCTTAATGCTTCTSTTAGACTTAAACTTCATGAATCGGCARGGYGCGAACCCAAGCCCGRCGYGYTTGTCGTGCTTCGAGGTGATGTAAACGCCCGTTTCTGGGGACGTGACAGTGATAGTCATGCTAAGAAAATTGGSGACRCGCCYARTTCCCWCCTCGCAGACCTCCRTRTTYTCSTTGATCTCGATGAACTGATCTGGGTAAATCCAGCAAGGATCTCCTACCTCCCTCTYGTTGGATCTGCGCRAAAAATCRCCAATMACCCSGTTGTTGATGGCGCCTAGGTCATCAATATACCTGAAGGTGCTCGCGAAGCAAGGGATCAGATGGGCATTCCCGGTATCCGCCAACCTCATCATGGCGTGAAACTCATACTTAAARAAGTATATGTCACACCAGATGGGGGAGCAAGCCAATCCCATCGGAATCCCCCTCACCTGTCGCCATACGTAGTCCCCCATCCTCACTACGCTGTTCGCGATGCACCATTCCGCGATCCAGCAGACATCCGTTTCCCTGAATAAGAGCGTCCCCATTYCCTCCACCTGCTCGTTATCTACYCAAGACGGCCACGRCTTGCCACTCCTCCCGAACCTAATCTGTATAGTATGGTTGGWGCTTCTCTCCCTCCTCACCCGYATCGCACATTGTACGTAGAACCTGATTGCGGCCGGGAGACTGTCCTCCGAATTATCCGTTGGGATCGCTTCAAAGCACCGAGTAATATCCGCAGTAAAAAACGGAGTAGACTTTCTCCAGTAGATTGGCGCGAAATTCCCCAACTGATGCTATGGCCCACCAAAGGTTCGGTCTGACCCCGTGTTGCTCCTCCACCTCTATGCTTCTCTCTAGGCAGAACGCTTGCACCAGCGGGAGAAAAAATCGCAGCAAGCAGGCACATACCTCAGCAGCAGGAGAAATGATTGTATTCGCCGTATTTGTGATCCAGCGAAAGGTGCCCTTGTGCGCCTTCAGAACCGTCATGAGGTAGGGGAGTGCCGATGGCGCCATTGGGAGTGCAGCAAGGGCCGAGATCTCTCCTCGAATGCGCGACGCGACGGCTGCAGGCGGAACGCCTACATAGGCAAATTCTGCCCCCGACAGCCTCTGGAGGGCAAGCTTGCGGATGAAGTTTTTGCAGACAAACGAAGGGGTGTTGGGGGCTTTGTCCGTCGGACAGATAAGAAACCTGCCGGTGATAAACTCCAGCTCCTTCTTGACCGCAGGATGCTCGAAAGGCTCGGTGACCGCATGCCTGTGCGCCGCCCTGTACCTCTCTGCCTTCGCTCTGATCTTCTTCATGATGACCTTCCSCAGCATCGACTTGGTRGAGTCTGCAAGTTCCCGTAGCTCCATCACCGTAGCGAAGAGATCGTCCAAAAWATGGTCCACCTCCGCGACYGCTTCGTCAACGTCCAGAGTCRTGACCGGGATGTGATTGAGGCCGGCGTTGACGATCCCTTGGAGCAGTGGATTATCCGTAATYGATRAGTCCAGTGTGATGACGTGTGTTCATCCCTCGCTTTGTAGCAGTTCGATCGACCAGTTGCTCCGCATGTCCGTGTACCTCGGAGATCTGCAGGGACAKCGTTYGGGGTCATAGTYGCCCATCCACTGAGTCATGTCGAAGYCGTWGAWMACTTCTGCCGGCCTGCACAGTTTTGAGGCAATCTTGGGGTTGTATGTCCACCCGATCCTGGTATGCTKTAGCCAGCYCGCCGTATCGTCTCCGATCATCCTGCTAAGCACATCGTTCACCACCCTCCTGATTGACAGTGATTCCATCACACGGCTGGTGTACCTGAGATGCAGAAAGCCGTCGCACTCAACCTCCTGTCTTTCCCACGCCCTTCATCCGCTTGGTAGGGTAACCATTTGTCCTGGGGCGCAAACCCACCTGTTCGGATCCTGCGCTTAACATACACAAGACGGGGAGTGTGTGTCGGGAAAAAGGCGAAGAACCGAGTGACTCCACAACGTCGGAAGGAAAAAAGGAAAAAAAGAGAGAGAAAACAAGGAAGAAAAAAAGGAAAAAAGGAAGGAAAAAAAGGAAGCAGTATAGAAAGCAGGAAGGGAGGGGAACGCACTCGAGCCGAATGTCCTCGCGCTTCAGGTCCTGGTGGCGCGCTTTCTGGAAGCATCCGTCGCACCCCTCCCTGCCCCTCTTCCTCCGGCGCCCTTCTTTGCTCTGCTTTGCTGGGTGAGCGTGGAGTGTGCGGAATTTTCCGGTGAGATGTGGATGACCGGAGGAGGCGTGAGTCCCCTAATATCTACCAGGGGGTGAATGGAAGGGGGTGGAAAGGCCAGTGCCGGAGCCCATGCCGGTGCGCCGGGTACCGATTGCTGTCCCCGAATGGGGAGCGAATTGGAGGGGTTGCCGAGGTGAAAAGTGGTGGTCCAGTGAGGCGCCGCAAAGATCGTTCCCGCAAGCTGCTGTAGGGACGGAACGGGAGGAGGAGGAGGAGGAGGAGGAGGAGGAGGAGGAGCAGGAGGAGGAGGAGGACGAGGAGGAGAAGACGAAGGAGGAGGAGGGGAAGGACCGTTGTGAGAATCGTTCATCGGTCGGGCGGCTTGAAAGTTGAGCGTAGTCTGCCCTTGCACCTGTGTCGTACGATTCCTCTTCCGCGCCGCGGCGCGTGGGGAACTAAGCGGCACCCTGGTGGGTTTCTCCGGGATTCGGGTGGGGAGCATGATGCGCGCGAGTGCTGCTGGGACAGGATAGTTCCAGAGGCGGTCCTCCTTCAGCACCGTTTTCGCGTTCAGTGTAGCATCCTCCGCCAACGCTTTTGTGTATCCCATCATCAGATCCCTGAGGAAGTGGAGACCTATGGCAGCGAGCACCCCCTCCCTCCACGTAGTCCTGAGATAGTGGATAAGCATAGACGTTCGGATCTTGATGGACGACATGCTGGGGAACAGTATGTCCGGATGCGCCAATAAGTACCAGATCGCGTGATCGAACCACAGAGGGGTATCTCCGATGTCCTTGTTCCTTTCTTTCTTGCACTTGCATTTGAGGTAAGGCCTACCAAAGCTCCATACCCTCCTTAAAATCCTGAGCTCTGGTTTTCCCTCCTGCCGGATACCCTTATGCCACATGCCCGAGTTTGTTTCCCCGCATTTATCCGAATCTAGTTCGCGCATGGCAGGGAACTTCAGGTCCTGGGGATCGAGCGGGCTGACCCTGCCGCAGTACTTGAGCTTTCCTTTCAGGATCTGCGATCTACAGTGCTTCACTTGCTCATCCGTGACATTCCCGAGGAACTGGAGAGCTCGAAYGGAGATGGGCGCCAGGTGGTTGAAGGTATCCATCTTCCAGATCGCATGCTTGTGGCCGGAGGAAGTATGTTCCACCCAGTAGGCAGAGGCGATGGGAGCAAACGCAGTATAGTGGTCGCGCTCAATGGCATCACCACSTGCCCCGTTCGAAGTGAGCGGGGAGTCGTGTGCARTGGCACTAATAGYAGCKATGGCTAGTTCCATCTCGAGCCTCTCCTCCTCCTCTATCGCAAGATCATCGCAGTGTGCCGCAGGGGCRCCAGGCGCCRTGGGAGAGCMGCTGGCTTGGTTTTCGKGGATGCGATCCTCCAGGTGGGAGTCATCCACCCCCCAGATCTTAAGGAAGATCTGTTCGATTTTCGCGGTTCTGCCCCTAAGTTCCCTGCACTCCTTTCCATATTCCCTCTTCCTCARCTCAAGCCTCTCGCAGAGGGTACCTAAWTCTCCGTCGAAGTCATCCCTGCTGCGATCCCAAGYGCCCGCGAGCACAGCGATATCACTAAAACCCATCATTTCAAAGAGGTGSGGGTAGTGTCCYGAATCCCATTTCTCTTTCAGGGCATTGASGACGCCGGGGTTGACACATGCGAATAACGCCTGTGTGGGTTTWGCGGGATAGGCACACCCCGCCAGCCATGGGTATCGGTGTACAAGCTCGTTCCACCAGCCCCCCGGGAAAGCTTCCTTAGSGGGTGGRAGCACSTGCGCGAAAAAATTGTGCGCCCAGGAACAYRCGCGGTGGACGGGGWATCAATCAAGGCACGGAGTCGGGRAAAASCACRGATTKAACCAATACCCCTATTTCGGAAAATGGACCCCCGCCTCCCAGTTTGTGAGATAACACAACCAAAGACATGCAAAAAGAAGGGGTAAAAAAGCAAATAAGAAAGCAATAYAAAAGGAACAGGGGAAAGGGGTTGGKGGSAGGGGGGACRCAGGGCCACGGAGGTCATGGAAAGGGGCGGGGTGAAGGGGGTAGTCATGGTCAGAAGAAAACAGGGACAKGAGCAATACGTGGTCAGTGACAGTTGTAGCAATGATACAGATCAGGCAATACAAGAAAAGGTGTGCSTAATAGCATCCCATTCATCCGTCCACTCTGCAGGTTTCATGTCTTTCCTTCACTTGGTCGGCAATACCCCAGCTGCCACTCCTGCCGACGTTCAGGCGACTAAGGCGTACCCCAATGGCCACTA